CTCGGCAAAAATGTTAAACTCACCGCGCGAGCTCGGAAACCGGCCGGGCCCCCAGCCCGAAATTTTTTTTCGGGTAAGGGCTGCCAAATTTCGAATTCCGCAGGCCCTTCCCCCAAAAGTTTCAGAATGGCGAAGCATAAAATTATTAAATACTTAAAAAATAACTTTAAATAATGCTCATTCCATCTTCTTTTTTAGGGGGGTATGAAAGATGTTCTTCCCGCTCCTTCTGCAAATCCCACACAGTGGTGGGGTAAGTTTGCAAGAAGGGGTAATCGCCTGATAACGACCTGCCCCGCGAAGCTTTGCAGAGATCACAAGTTGCGTTTTCTATGGCCAGCCGACCACCAATATATGCTGAAGATTGGCGTTCAGGTCTTCATGTCGGCAGTTATGGGTTAGGATGAAGATGCCCGTGGCKCTCTCGTTTTCTTGTTTTTGTTTTCTTACGAATACGTCCAGTGGGGCTTGCTCCACTACTCACCAACTGCACAAAAGACATAGCATATGGCGGTGTATGGTTCCATGTTTTAGCAGAAGATTCATTCTTCTAATATTATATACATTTGGTGAGTGGTGCAGGGAGGCCCTGAGAATCAAGCGGAGACACGAACAGGGTCTAGCTGAACTGGTGACCCATAACTGCCGAGCTACAGCCCTGAACTTGAATCCACAGCATATATTGGTGCCCCCATGTCTTTCATGCACGACGAGGCCATCCTTCTCATTGAAGCAGCGGCCCTCAATGGCTTCACATGCGTTGTAGGAGCCATTCTAGGTACCTGCAGGGGCCCTCAAATTGACATAAAGGGGACACTTTGTTGTCTTTCTCTCTCTCTCTCTCTCTCTCTCTCTCTCTCTCTCTCTCTCTCTCTCTCTCTCTCTCTCTCTCTTGGGGCCTGTCTATTTTTTTTTATTTTTATTTTTTTGTGCACATAGCGCACCTCCCTCAGCGGACCACACTGCGCACAGTGCGCGCGGTGTCATTCCAGCGCACAGCTCTGTGCACTGGTGCGCCGTAACTATGATGCTTAAAACATCTGCCCATATACCTATCGTGCATTACCCGCCCCTCCGCGCACGCCTTCTGTGCATGCTGTGTATACTGTCACTGCAATAAACCCCTTTTCCACCCTGAGGAGTAGATCCACAGTCGAAACAGCTGAGTGCAGACGGTAGCATGAACGCATAAAAAAGGTGGGATTGCGCCCGAGTGATAGTGTAAAGAGGGGGGGAAAGAGGAGAAAATGGATGGTAGCATGCATGCAGAAAGGCTCCGAAGGGTCTAAACTGTACCCGTGTGGAGAAACAACGGCAAGGCACGCTACCTGGCCATGTTCAGGGGAGAGGGGGAGGTCAGGACAGCATGGTTCTTGTGGTTTTCAGCTTCTTCTCCTCCTCCTCCTCCTCCTCCTCCTCTCTCTCTCTCTCTCTCGGGGCCAGGACAGCATGGTTTTTGTGGTTTTCGCCCTCTCTCTCTCTCTCTCTCTCTCTCTCTCTCTCTCCTGTCTCTTATACACATCTAGATGTGTATAAGAGACAGGCATAATGTGGGGAAAGTGAGCAAAAGAGAATATNCTCTCTCTCTCTCTCTCTCTCTCTCTCTCTCTCTCTCTCTCTCTCTCTCTCTCTCTCTCTCTCTCTCTCTCTTGGGGCCAGGACAGCATGGTTCTTGTGGTTTTCGCCCTTCGTTTCTGAAGCAGAAAAAATCATAATTATCAAGACACCCCTGCAGTGACATCTTTTCTTCCTCCTGGGAAAACAGCATTTGTTTGTTTGTTTGTTTGTTTGTTTGTATTCAAAACAGCAGTTGGTACAAATAGCGATGGTGATATGAGCTTCCGCCGCTATCGGCCCCTCCGTTGGCTCCAATCATATTGGTGGTGAGCAGCACCTGCTGGAAATCTGTTGCTCAAATGAAACAGATGTTCTACGCGCTGCTGTCATTGTGCAGTGGCTGAATGGCACACTTTTGCATACACGTTACCTTTTGAGAAACCAAATCCAGTAGCTAAAATAATGCTTGGGGCTCACAGGAGTCCCAGCCTCCTGAAAAGAAGACGACAGGAGAGAGAAAAAGAATCAAAGAAACATATTGCCTCTTCAAATTTACAGTTTTCAACTTTCAACTTTCAACTTTTAAAATTCAAAATTCAAAATTCAAAATTCAAAATTCAATGCTGAGTTTGAACTTTGAAAGCATGACACTGCTGTTCCATTCATGACCCAACCAACTTAGCTTCGCCGAAACACGATACCTGCAGAAGGGGGTCAGACAACAACATACCTTTTACAAGTCCACAGATACTTGGTTGAGCTGAGGCAAACCCGGTTCAACTAAAAAGAAGCACGGTCGTACAAGAAACCTCCCTCCTGGAGGACTTTCTGATGCTGGGTGCAAAGCACTGCTGTCTTATTTTATTCTGCTCATCAGGTTGCATCTGGATTCCAGTGTGCGTCTGCATTTCAGCAGAGTTCATGGGTGTGCCAACCGAGTACTGCGGGCAACTGGATCAACGAGCGACGAAGTGAGTGACATGCTGTCGATGACGAACAGCCGGCAGCCCAACGGCATCCGTGTATTTATAGCACGCATGTAGCTGCTTGCAAATCCTGGGCAGTGGGCTGGCTTGAAATGTCTGAAATGTCCCTGTCATACAGTCTCCATTTTGTCTCACTTCCTCACCCATGAACAACCGTCCCGCTGACACTTTTTCGGTCAGAAAACAGCAGAGGGTGTGAGTGGCGGCGTGTTATTCACGAACTAGCTCCAGCAACATGCAGCAGCAGCCTGAGGCATCCGCAGATCCCACAGGCCTGACAGCCGTTTGCGCATCTACCACACGAGCGGCTGGACCCAATGGCCAGGCTTGACATGTTGCAGTCATACCATCTCCAATGATTGTCCCGGACTCATATGAAGGGGGACTGATAACGACATTTCATCGCTTGGAAGTCGAGCAACAACGGCATTTCATCGCTTGCAAGCTGAACACAGAATCGATTCGAATTATTAGGAGGGAGGATGACGGCACCTGAGTCATGTCAGTTTCAACTTTCAACCCTTGGTGAAACTGCTAGACCTTTTTCTATGAATACTAGGCATTAGAACTCCTGAATGGATTACGAGTGAAACCCGGAAGTCCAGACAATCCCTGCAAAGGATTGATCCCCCCCATCAGAAGACGTTGAAGGCCAAGCGCCGTTCGAGGAGCCAGGCGAAGTGGAGATTGGAGGTGTGACAGAGTTGGTCTGCATCCTGGCTTGCTCCGCAGTAGATGCCTGTGATGCGCATGCCATTCGGTTTCCATACGACTCAAGGTTGCTCCTGCCACATTGTGGGCTTGATGGTGGTGCTTTGCAGGTTGTTGTTTCAACAGAGATTTCTTTTCGGCGCTGATCAGCAGAAACCTCGCCATCGTGTGTGTTGCTTTCTGGTCTCCCCCCAAAATCAAGGAGGCAAGGCAACCCGGAAAGCTTGCCCTCAAAAGTGACCTGAATGAAATCGCTGATTGTTCTGCACTGTTTGACCGATAATGGAATTTCGTCGCTTGGAAGCTGGCCAGCGGCAGATGCGATAGAGGCATGTGGAGGTCCCAAAGGCTGGTTCAATTCCTCATCTTGGCTGAGAATTTTCTGCACCGCAGGTTTTGCTCGAAATGCTATCCCAGTGCTGTACATAATCCACTGCCACAACAGTCTCCCATCCTGACCAGGGGATAATGGATGGATCAATACCGCACAGTTTGCAACACACCCAAACAAACAACAAATGGACAAATACACAAAAAATCGAGTCAGCAATTACAAGCGGGTAAATTTGATTTTTCAATTTTTTTCTTTCTTTCCGTCTCATTAAACAACCACTACCTTTCCCATATGTCGGCCACGGGCATCTAGTACCCTACTCCTGAAAAATAGCCGCCATGCCGCCGTCGATATTTTTCATCGACGGCGTGTGGCGGCCGAACTTGGATTTGAGGCCCGTGGGCCCACATACGAGAAAGGTCGTGGTGGTTTAACGAAGCAAGTGGGAAAAGCAGCAAGCCACTCACTTTTCTACTTTCAATTTGCTGGATGGATTGATGCTGAGGCTTTCTTTTACGTGAGGGTTCACCGGTCACCGTTTTTTGTCGGCGGTCGTAACTGAGATCAACATAGATGGATGGATCGATACATAGGTTGAAACACAGACAATCATACATGGATGTTGGGACACCAGGCAAAGTTATAAATGCATCATGGATGGATAATGTATTGCCATAAGTAGGTTGGAAGTTGAAACACAGGCAAAAACTGTTGATGTCAATAAGTTACTCAGTTGTTGCTACTGCACAGAAGTTCGCATTGCTTGCCAGTGTTGCCACATGCTTCGAGGGACAGCGAATCCCCATCTGAAAAACTGTTGATGTCTTCTGCAAATATGTCAAATATTGCATGGGTGCGTCAACTGTGCCAGCAACACCAGAGAATCGTATAACCGATTTGACACAGACCAATCAAAGCAACACCAAACCCTATAGAAGGCATAAAAAAGTGTTTGTCCTTCGGGACATCTGCTAAAATTGGAACGACACAGAGAAGATGAGCATGGGCCCTGTGAATGGATGACACACATAAATCGAGAAATGGTCCGAACGTGCTCGGCAGCCCACAAAAAAGTGTAGGGTGGTTTAGAAAAAAGACTTCCCAAAGTAGAGGCCTGACCGTCCTGGCATGCTAACATGTACATCCCACCGCCTCCTATACCGGCAAAATAAACAGCATGCATCAACGAAAGATTCACATGGTACCCGGAGCTCCACTTGCCTGCATGGCTGTGTAGGGTGTGCAATGTTCATGCATGAGGATGGCAGACAGTCTTCCTCCCCCCCCCCCCCCCCCCCCTCTCTCTCTCTCTCTCTCTCTCTCTCTCTCTCTCGGGTACAATGCATGTAAGCTTACGTGAGCATGTCCTCTCCCCGTTTGCCTCAACATGTATGCACTAGACGCTTATGCTTCCTTGCCTCCTCATGGAAAGCCCCGATCCCGCTGATACTTCACTTTTCCCCCCGTAGAGCCCCCCTTTGGATGGAAAGCTTCGTGCAACACCCGTTGATACTCCCTATTTCCGCCCTTGCATTCCTCACCCTTCGCAAACCCTCCCTTTTATTCACGGCATTTTACAGCCCCCTCGACCCCTCCTTTCCTGAGAAAATAATATTGAGTAAAGTTCAAGATCCCCCGCGCCGGCGACAAGTCCTTTGTTTTTGTTTGTGGCCAAACAGGGCAAAACGTGTGGCAGGCCCTGAAACAAACTTCCATTTCATTTTTACACCCCTGTACAGGAACATTCCCCCCTTTCCGCACAAAGGTAGGGAGATGAAGACTATGGGGTCCATACTATTTCCGCAAAGGTAGGAGTTGAAGAGCTGCAAACCACCTTGAGGCTTGAATACAACAAGGGTTTGCGAGGGGCCAGGAGTGCAAGCAAAAACATAAGTTTAGATCAACCTTTATGTGCTGAAAGCCTGAAATACAGTATGCTCCCAAAAAAAACAAGGATTTGCTAGAAACAAAAGCGATGATCTTTTTATTTTTATTTTTATTATTATTATTATTATTATTATTATTTTAGCTGGGGAATGAGGAATGTAACAGGGGTTGCAAGATGCTTTTGCAAAGTGCTTTCCATCCAACTGCACCCCCCCCTCCCCCTCTGAGGAGAAAGGAAGGATCATATTGAGTCCAAGACTATTAGGCAAAGCTTTAGATTCGCCTGCAGAAAAAGAACTTTTTGTATTTGCTTGCCCCTAAGCGAGGCAAAAAGTGCGGTAGTCCGTCGCTCCTACCGATTGAATGGTCCGGTGAAGTGTCTGGATTGCGGTGGTCTCGGCGGTTTGCCGCTGGGGGTGCTGTGAGAAGTTCATTGTACCTGACCCTTATCATTTAGAGGAAGGAGAAGTCGTAACAAGGTTTCCGTAGGTGAACCTGCGGAAGGAACCCCCTCCCTTCCCCAAGAAATCTGTGTGTGCCCTTCATTCTCTACCACCCACCTGCTCACCGGTTCACCATCAAATGACCCTCTCCCCCCTCCTTCTCCTCGACTGTCCCACATCCAAAGCATCCTGCGACCACCACTTGCCTGAGGTCATGGACCTCCACCATTTTGGATCACGCATCTCAAGGGCAAAAAAACAATCCACCAGTGAGGATTGGCCAAAGCAGAGGTTGCACAAGGAGAACTTCGGGGGTAGTGCTGCAAATCCACCCAAGAGCTTAACGGAAAAGACAAACAGGTATATACATGGCAGGGGCAGCTCAAAACTTCCGATCTTGAATGAGCTCAGATTTCCAATCTTGAAGAATGGTACAATAGTATGGGCTTTTACGGTTTTACACCTCATCTTATTTCCCACAAACAAGTATACCAACAACAGCCATACAAATGTAGTATGTACTCACAAACTCGCCGGATGCCAGCAGAAGGGTTCTGGCTCCTGAGTAACTTCTTACCTTCTCTTATTTCCTACAAACAGAGGGATACCAACATCCATACATATGGTGGCTGCGTGACTGCCCAGCTGGGCAGGCGCGCATCCATTTTCGAGTCGACATGGAATGACTGGAATTCCAGCTACCCACACACTCGCAAGAACAAACACACACGGATGCCGGAAGATCGACAGATTTGAGTGGCCAGACGGGCAGGCGGTTGGGACGAGTCGCAAACAGAGCAATGAACGAACCACCGAACAGACACAGAAAGTCAGACAGCAGAAAGAAGAACATAAGCAAATGACACAGCAGAAACAATGGAACAGTCGAGCAAATAGAGCGTTAAGACTCAGCCCATGTGGATGAATGTTATCACACAAGTAAATGTTAGTTAATAAACAGATCATGATCATGAGTTCGAGTCCTGCCGGACTCTGATAACATAAGGTTATGGGTTATCCTGGTACCCCGTTAAAAGGTAAAATTTAAAAGACAATAAAATGAAGCGTGTTGATAAGGAAGAAGCGCACCTCTACGCAAATATCAGCCACAATGCCCTTCAACACAAGTAGCTTTCGCCGGAACTCTTCCCGCACTCTTGCAGTCATTGTCCTCTTCAAATATGAACTCTTCATGGATTCCAACAATCTCCCTACTCCCTGTACGCACGCAAATATTGAAAAGCATAACCACTCGGGAAATGACAGACCATGCGTATAAACTTCTATAAACCTCATCTTCCAATCCCCTGGATGTACCACAAGGGTGTCAAGGAAAGTCAAAACCACTTGGATGACCCGATCAAATCGATCAAACATTCAGATTCGTCCCAATTTCCACAGGTAGTGTCTGTTAGGCAGGGGTGAGGGGTGGTACATCCTTCCGCCTGGAAGTAATCAACGTCGTCCACTCGGGCCTTCCAACCATAATGGGGAGGAGCGTAGGGTGAGTAAAACATTGTACTTTCAATTGACTTGCCAGGGGAATAGGAACCGGACTGTTGCTCCCCAGAATGGAAGGAGCCAGAACCAAGAGGTTCTGAAAAAAAAAAAAAAAAAAAGCTTCGTAAAAGCTTGCGGGTAAGGTAGACATACTGGTAGCTAAAGGAAGTCAAGAGAGAAGAAAATAGGGTAGGGAAAATAATACAACTGCCCACTGCCCCCCAAATGAGGAGAAGACAGCTGTATTTTATTTCTAAGTTTTTTTTTTCTTATTCTTCTTTAGAAAAAAAAAAGAATAAATCAGTCAAACTTTCAAGAATCGGAACACACTTACACTACACCAGAATAACCTGACGTCGAAAACTCTCAACACCACTTACACTACAGCCACTACCTGATGGAAGTGCCACATGCCACACTAACACAACCTACTTCCCTCAGTGCCCTGTATTATCCACATCCTCTCCCTGGGCTGGAGAACGATCCCAGCCATTACATTTTGAAGTGAAAAATGGAAATGGCTGCGCGACTCCGCAGCTGGAATTCTTGTCTGGTCCCAGCGTGATCGAGGCCACCTCCAAAAATCTCAACACCACTTACACTACAGCCACTACCTGATCGAAGCGCCACACTAACACAAACGTACTTCCCTCAGTGCCCTGTGTCGTCCACATCCTCTCCCTGGGCTGGAGAACGATCCCAGCCATTACATTTGGGAGTCAAAAATGGCTGCGCGACTCCGCATCTGAAATTCTTTTCCGGTCGCAGCGTGATTAAGGCCACCAGAGCGGTGGAGTACTGCAAGCGGCAGCCTTTATTCGCTGTGCATTTGGAAACGTTCATATGAGCAAAGAAATCAAGGCAATCATGGAATGATACCAGATTAATGACCTCGATGACAGCAATGTACATTTATCCAGTTCTAGCATCAAAGGACCTCCCATTTAACCCACAAAGGAGCGCCAACAGCCAAGGTTGTAGCGGGCCTCGCTGTCTCTTGCCCACCACCTTATCCTAGACTCACCTCCTCCTCTTTACTGTGTGTGGCCCTCCTTCCTGTATATATTCTGTATTGTCTAGACCACCTTCCTCATTTGTACGCCATGTCTTCCCCCAGAGTTATCACCGCCATTCCGCCTTGTAGTGCCTCTTTGTATGCCCCTAGCCCAGGTGCCAGTTCTCCCTAACTCCTACAGGCTGAGAATGACAAGCGTCACGGCAGATTGCCGCAACATAGTGACTGGCTGTGGCCACGTAGTGACCTACTAGGTCGCAACGAGAACAACAGGATGGTCCACCCTCTCCGAGAGTCTGAGCCCTGTCCCCTTGAGAAGTGAGCTACAGGGGTCGGAAAGGGGCAATGATGGGAAAAGGGGGTTAAGAAAAACCGGGAAGAGGGGGCAGGAGAGGAGAGGGGGGCAGGGAAAAAGTGTTGAAACTTGAAATAGGGGGACGGAACACAGGCTAGAAAATGCAGGTGGGAGAAGAGCGCCGCAGACACGGATCGGAAGGCGGGGAAGTGGCCGGGGGGAAAGCATCATAACGGAGAAAAGGTGGGGTATATGTGGAGCGATTGGACAGGGGGCAAAGAAAAGGGGGCAAAGAAACGCGACACAATGGGGCCACGAGAGGGAGGATGGCAAATATGGGTGGGTAAAAGTGTCACAGTAGCCGAAAGGGGGAGTATGGGGGGGGAAATGGGGATGAGGGAAGCGTTGAAAACCAATTGCAACAGGGGCATTGGAACAAAGCAGGGCAGTGGAAAAGGTACTCTCGCTCCTTTCCCTTTGTGCTCTCCTGCTTGAAGTCCAATCTTCGCACCTTTGTCATGTTTCTTGGGTCCTAAGCTTGGTATTTGATCTTCATTTAGCAGGGCAGTGGAAAAGGTGCTCTCGATCCTTGGTATTTGAAAAACCATTGCAACAGGGGCATTGGAACAAAACAGGGCAGTGGAAAAGGTGCTCTCGTTCCTTTCGCTTTGTGCTCTCCTGATTGAAGGCCAATCTTAGCACCTTTGTCATATTTTCTGGGTCCTAAGCTTGGTATTTGATCTTTATTAAGCACCTTCTGAAACCAGCAACTCCTTTTTTCCCCCCCTGACCAGTGACTTCTCTTTTTTTTTTTTTTTTTTTTTTTTTGGGGGGGGGGGGGGGGGGGGGGGGGGGGGAGGGGGGAGGCACGAAGGGGCAGGAGGGATGCTGCGCCAATTCCAAAGCCTGACTAAGGTACTTGTATTTCACGAGTTTCTGCAGCTTGGGCGATATTGCATTCTTTAAGGGAAGAGCACCAGGCATACCTCAAGTGCAGCTCCTCTGCTAACCGCACCAACTCTTCTAAGAAATCCTTCCAGCGAACAATCTTCTGCTGGACCTGAAGGTTTATTGCTCACAGGCCAATGTGACACGATAGCTGCCATATTTGCCAAGTGCCGCGCAATCTCCTGCCGTGACTCCCCCTGTCAATTTAGTTAAGTGACAACACTGACAAGTGAGACACTGTGTAAAAATGATAAGAAAGGGCAGAGTCAAAAAAAAAAAAAAAAAGCCAGAGTCAACAGTCACACCCCATCCATGAGTGCAGGCAGTTCTTGCCGCAGTCTAACACAACCCGCACCAGATTCTTGAATAGATCTTCACCAGCTCCACATTACAGAACCCCACTGACACTGACACCCAGTGATACCAAACACGTCATGCTATGTGTCAGGCCTCCACTTAGTTACACGTTATTTGAACTTATTTCACTTCAAAGCTCCAACCACCAGTAGTGACCCCCCTCCTCCAAAACGTACGGCTGTGTACGCGTCCCAAAATGAAAGGCTTGGCCTATTGCACCCAAGAGGGGTGCAGGGGAGGAGGCAGGGGGGGTCCGAATATTCTTTTTTTTTTTTTTTTTTTTTTTTTTTAATTTGGACCATCTATCGATTTATGCGTGTCATCCTTGCGCAGGGTCCATGCTAATCTTCACTGTATCGTTCCAATTTTAACGGATGTCGGGAAGGACACGGGGGGCAGAATATTCTAAGTACCCCAACTTCTGCGATTGTTTTATTCTAATTTCCGGCAACGAAAATTCTTAAGAAAGTAAAGGGTGTAGAAAAATTAGCGCTAGACGGAATGCACATGTCGATCAAAGTCACTGCAAATTAGGCCGGACAGGCCACGGTCTGTTGTTGTTTTTGGCTCGACAAGATAGGTTCCACTGCACTGGTGGGTTAAGACTCTTAAGAGTTTGACATTTCACAAAAGGTAGACTCCAAAGACGGCCGAACGGCGAAAATAAAGAAACTGCTAGGAGTATGTCGGACTTCAGTCAATTTCAGTCAATTTCAGTCAATCCATGCCCATACAGGCACAATTGTGATGGAAGCATCCTACCCTACACTTGGTTGGAAAGTTCACACTGGAATAGTTTTTTATTCAGCAATATTCACTGTTCAGTGTTGATTGAACTTCATTCAACAGTTGGGCAACAGCATCTGAAACATAAGATAAAGAAGAGGTTGGGGAAAAGTACATGCAGAGGAAACACCAAATCAACGTTCCTACTAAATCGTTCTCTGCCATTTTCACTTTACTTGCACAAACAAGAAAGGCAGCCAAAAGGGAGCAGTCAGTGGGAGCATACCTTCTCACAACACTCTTCACAGACCCTCAATGCTGCCCACAATGCAGCAGGCACATCTGCACAAGCACAAAGTCACAAAATGCAAAATGAGGAACACAATGATCGGACTCGGTGCCCTGCTGGTAAACTGAATGCAACAGGATGGGGCAGGGAATGTTCTGGATTGGCCCCACAAGGGAGTCAAGGGACTGCTCCAATGGACACAGAAAGGGGAAGAACCATTGAGCCATACCAAGGCGGCCAAAAGAAGGTGAGCTGGATGCATGCAGCCTCAGGACTGTCCTCAAAGGATAGGAAAACATCGTCATGCGATCAAATGGCAGAAGTGAGACAAGATGGGCCAGTGCGGCTCCGCCCGCGACAGGAAAAGGGAGATCACAAACTTCCTGTAATAGCTAGCAAGTCCTAGGAAAGATAGCAACTCCGTAACAGTCTTGGGTTTGGGGCCTTTGGGCCAATCTCTGATTGCGGTGATCTTCTTTTCTTCGGGCCTTAGTCCCTCTTCATTTACTATGTGTCCAGGATAGAGTACCTCAGACTTAGCAAACTCGGAGTTCTTAGGATTTAACTTGTAGTTAGCTTCTCTTAGTTTCCATAGAACCATTCGTAGGTGTTTCTCTAACTCCACCTATGAAAGGGAATTGTATGCCTTAGTGGAAGCACTGGACACTTGGAAACACTACTTGCTCGGACGACACTTCACAGTTTACTCAGATCACTCAACCCTGACGTGGATTAAGACAACCACGACTCTCCGACAAGTTAGTAAGATGGTTTGCATTCATCGACACATTTGATTTTGAGTTGAAAACCATTAAAGGAAAACCAAATGCTGTTGTTGATGCGTTTGTCCAGGCATTCTGATTTCTTGGGTGCAATTGTTACCTACCTTGACATCGGGAATGAATTGAAGGACTGAATTCGTAAAGGGTATGCTTTGGGATCCGATCTGGAGTCCTATCAACCAAACCCTTTAGAAGAATCCTGAACTCTTTCTTGAACACCGAATGACTGATGGCTTGCTCTTCTTTATCGATCAAACCGAAGAAAGAATCTATGTTCCCCACAAAGAAGATATCAAAAGTATGATTATCGGGGACTGTCATGATACTATTGAGGGTCACTTCGGGTTTAAGAAGATGTATGCTGATGTAAGAGAATCTTTTGAATGGAAAGGAATGAAAGAGGATGTGCTAACCTATGTGCGAACTTGTCTTGTTTGCCGAAGGAACAAGCCCGTTAATGAGAATCCCTTGGGACTACTATGACCACTGCCTAGTCCAAGTGAACCAGGTGAGTCCATCTATTGACTTCACGAGTCTCACCAAGAGTCGAATGGGAATAGCCAAGTAATGGTCATTGTCGACAGATTCTCTAAGTATGCGATGTTTGTTCCTTTACCATTAAAAGCTAGAACGAAACTCGTCATCTAGAAGTTCCAGATGCGATGGGTTTCCGAATATGGCTTTCTGAAAACCATCATCTCTGATAGGGATGTATGATTTACTGCCCTACAATGGCAAAAGCTAATGGAAGCCTATGGCACAAGACTGACCATGTCGTCCGGTAGACACCCTCAAACGAATGGACAATCAGAGCAAATGAACAGAATGTGCCAACAACTTTTGTGAATGTATGTTAGGCCCGATCAAATTGACCAGGACGAGAACCTACCAAAGATTGCAAGTGCCTACAAACAATAGTGTTCATACAGTTACTGGCAGAACACCTAACGCACTGCACAAAGGTTGAAAGCCTCGACGTCCCATTGATGTGTTGACTAGGGAACAAGTCCAACGACTACCCCCAGGAACGAGAGAATTCACAATTCTGTACGAGCAAGACATAGCCAAAGCAAAGGAGAATATTCAGAAAAACCAACTACAGATGATCGGACAAGCAAATAAGCATCGTCGACCATCATAGTTCCAAAAAGGAGATCTAGTTTGGGTGAAGTCTAAAGAATTCTCCCTCGAAGAAAATGCGTCTCAGAAATTGCTACCCGTCTACTATGGACCCTGGGAAGTTCTTAAGCTGATAGGGGACACTGATGGACCATCATATCGAATTGACGTACCCCCTCACCTCAAGACATACCTTATCTTCCATGCTTCCAAACTGCTACCATATGTCGAAGGCCACGAGTTTCCCTATCGGCCATCCGTGTTTCCTCCCTCTATGGACGAAGGTTATGAAGTTGAGCGAATATTGGAACATGGATACTTTTCTGCAGGTGGCAGATGTGGCATACTGCACAGCCACACGGGCCTGCAGGGCCCGACCAGACGAAGAATAAGGGCCCTACAGGCCCTGTGTCGTTTCAGCCTGAAAGCCTGAAAACAAGGGCCTACAAACCCTGTGTCGTTTCAGCCTGAAAGCCTGAAAACAAGGTCCTACAAACCCTGTGTCGTATCAGCCTGAAAGCCTGAAAACAAGGTCCTACAGGCCCTGTGTCGTTTCAGCCTGAAAGTCTGAAAATAATGGCCTACAGGCGCTGTGTCGTTTCAGCCTAAAAAAGGCCCCTCCAGGCCCTGAGTCTTTTCAGCCTAAAATGGAGGGTCATTTTCAGGCCCTCATAAGATCGACCTGCCCTGAAACTTGGGCACCAGACCAGGGTTTTAGCACATGCCATTTTGGGCCTGTTTTCAAGACAACCTTTGTTTGAACAACGCCAGGGTCTGGCACGTTTGGGCATTCGCAAGAGCAGCCTCCTGGACGGGCCAGCACTATATACGACTGGCCCGCCCTGCAGGCTGCAGGTAGTTCATAGGGACTTCCCAGGCACTTCACATGCAAGAGGCAGGAGGCAGTCTTCAGGATTCGGCAGCAGCACTCTGGAGGAGCGCTGCAGTAGTAGTAGTAGCGTTAGCAGTAGTCTTCAGCGCTGGGCGCTATTAGGAGCTAGATTAGCGTTGGAGAGAGAGAGATGGTTGGCGGAGGCTAGGGAGACTTACCTGTGGCGCCATAGCTCCAGCTTCTTTTTCGATGTGCCTGCAACAAGGCGCCACCTTAACAGGTTAGTACCGGACACACACAGAGAGAGAGAGAGAGAGAGAGAGAGAGAGAGAGAGAGAGAGAGAGAGAGAGAGAGAGAGAGAGAGAGAGAGAGAGA